TCTCTCTCCCTCCCTCCCTCCCTCCTGTGCAGCACGTGCTGGCTGTGTCTTACTGAGGCCGCCAGGGGCCGCACGAGGAGGGCGTCGGGGCGAAGCTTCGCAGAGGCAGGGCCAAAGACGAATGACGGGATGCCGAGATACATATGGAACACATATTCCATGTATTCTGGGTTCGGTCGGGGTGCGTCGGAACATGGAACATCATGCAACCCTTCAGGTCGGCAGCGGCGCCTGGGGTTTTGACCCCAGTTCCGAGAACAAACAGAGAGAGCGATCCAGTATTCAGCCACTGTGCCAGGCGCATGATATGGACGTCGATGACAGGAGCTTGGTCTGGTGTTTTGCTGGTTATGAGTTGCGGAGGCTCCATGTGAGATCCACGTAGCCCAGAGGCTGCAGCGATGAGAAACCTCCTGGCCCGCTGCTGTCAACGCACTCGTGCAGCGCAGCCTGCAGAAGCCTGACCCCCGCAACAGCATCGAGAGACATCCAGATTGCAAGCTTCTTGAGAGAAGAGGTGCTGTACTCGGGCCCGGGTGCTGGGCAGCAGGCATCTGCCACCGCAGAGGCCACCTGGGCAATGTTTTCAAAAAACTGATGAATGAAGCATAATGAAGCCAACAATGACAAACTGAGCAATATACAACCACTGAATGACTTTGTGTTGCAGAAACACTTCGTGGAGCACAGGAAGTCCAGGTGGCAACAGATGCGACATTGCAGTTCAACACCGGGGGTGATTGCATCCTTTCAACGGCACAGCCCCCCAGCACTGTTAAATATATCAGAGGGGACGGCAATTTCAATTGGCCATGGTAGGTGCGCCCGGTTGCAGTTTAAAGGCAGTGTTGTGGCTTCGTGCCAGCGACCCTTGCTTAGTACATAACCTTCATGGGAGATCATGTGAGGAACCGCTTTAGGCGCGGCCCGCACGCCCCCCGCAGCCTGCGCTGCCTGCACACGGCGCGCCACGCGTACCATTCACGGCACGCAGCGGATGCAAAGCAACACTATGCGATGCAATGCCACTCACTGCACGCCACCCACCCGTCTGCCCCCCCACCCTCCCTCCCTCCCTCCCTCCCTCCCTCCCTCCCTCCCTCCCCTCCCTCCCTCCCTCCCTCACTCACTCACTCACTCACTCACTCACTCACTCACTCACACTCACTTCCGCCTTCCGCTCTCAGTCTGACTCTCACTCTCACTCTCACTCTCTCTCACGCCCACGCTCACGCTCACTCTCTCACCCAATCACGTACTCACTCACGGACTTACTCACTCAGTTGAACGTAAGAAGGTCCGATTTCCCGTTGGTGTTAGGCAAGACCCTGCGGCCACGTTGCAAAGTTCCGTTGCTAGCCTCTCACGGCTGCGTACGATGTAAGAGCAGCGGGGTAAGGAAAGCAGAGATTCTTTATGGAATGCAGTGTAACTGGAGCCCATCGGGGTACCGAATTTCGGTGTAGTATCCGAGTCAAGAGTCTGAATGAGCATCGTGGAACTGGCCCTAGCGGGCCTCCATATGCACCAGATAGCCACACTAGAGGTCCTGGGCCTTCCCAAACTCATCTTCTAAATAGAGCTACTTATAGCCGACTTGTAGCGACCCGAAATCTTTGTCAATGCAAATCCTTCTTAAGACTTCGGCGTCGAGATTTTTGGATTGGGGTTTCGAGTCCCACATCCTGTCGAGTTGGATAAAGTTCCCATTTCCATCGCCATGAAGTAAATTTGTTTTTTGGCCCGAGTGCCACTAGATTAGCCACAGGCTCGCTGCTCGCATTTTCTATCGGTCGCGGATATGCAACTCGAAATGTGCAAGCTGAACCTGTAGCTTAAGACAGCATTTGCTTTCGATTGGCTCCTCTTTAACGCTGTGAGTTGATCTTGCAGAACCGATGCTTTGGTATTTTGAGGCGTCTTTTCATGTATCTTTCCATGCACTCCGAGTGCATGGAGTGGCCCTCGCTGCAGGTGTCTCTTCGGCGGATGAGCTGGTCTGCATGCTCTGATTGCCAAAGCTTTCACGAAGCCTGCTGGTGTTGCTCAGGTCCTACCGTGGTGCCAACCTATATGCCTGCGGCCCTCCGAGCCTGATGGCCAATGTGGAGGCAGCACGGATGCACAGTTGAAGCTCTGCCGACAACGGTCACATGAAAGGCCCTGCGGAATCTGGGCATCACAATAGCAGGCCGCCAGGTCCGCTTTGTGATTCTGTCGCGAGCGTGCTTCTGCATTTCTGACCTGAGAAGCGTTGGCAAGGCCGCCCATCCGAAGGGAAGCTTGCTGCCGTCTTCAGGCCAGCCGTTCGCTACTAGGCGTGACCGACCGGAAGTGTTGTGCAGGATTGCAAAGTCGTTTCACTGGCTTTGTCGACGCCGTGCTCTGGCCTCTCGCATCCTTCTTCCAGGAGTGCGGCAGCGTAGTCGCTTTCGAGTCTGCTCGACTTGAGGGAGTTGTAAGGGATGAGATGTGCAGGTTCCAATCGGAAGCCTTGCGGCTGCTGTCGGGCCTGGCATTGGCTTTGCCCTTGGCAGTTTCGGGCTTTCCGGAGCCATAGCTCATCAGGCTCATCACGAATCACTGCAGCGACGCTTTATAACATGGCCAAGGTCGGGGAAGAAACATGCATGATGCCCAGCCATGTCCAGCCTATGGGTGGGACGGCTTTCTGCTTCTAACATGCTTGGTTTTCAGGCATGGCCTGATCTGCTTCAGCCTTCCCGAAACCGTTGCTGTTTCGCGGCCTCGCGCTCGCAAAAAATCGGGGGAAAGAGAGGTCTTCGCGAGTGTGGCAGTCGAGGAGTCGAGCAGAAATGCATAGAGAGCTCGTGCGTGCGTGCAGCTGTGCCCTGAGGCCGGCCGACCTCTGCCGGTGGTACTGCGAGATGTGCCCCTGATCTGGGCTTTTCATCTGCGGAACTCCTGGAGACTCCTGGAGAAAGAAATCTGAAAAGGTGCCGTCTGTTGGCCGGCGACAATGCAGGTGACTTCAGCACGGCAGAGGCAGCGAGCTCCGTTGCATTTCATTGCATTGCCGATGATAGGAATTTTGGCTGAGCCTTGCTGTCCATACTTTGAAGCTGTCAAGCGAAGGTTTTTCCGAAAACATCCTTGTCAGCTTCGCGTTATACGAAACTGACCTTTTGATAATGTCCATAAACGGTTCGCGACGCTTCCGGCAGCAAAGGCGTGAAAGGAACAAGCCGTAAGCTGCAATTTGATTGGGGAATTCTCAGATCTTGGGCTCCGCCTGAATTCTTTAGATACCCTTTATCTGTAGGATATTATGCCGTATCATTTTGGGTATATATAAGGTGTAACAGGGTATCATATATAGGAGATATTCTGTAAGGTAGTCTATAGAGTCTTTAGAGTATTCTAGATGGCATTCTATTATACGTATATATATATATACATACATACATATGTTATACAGGCGGTATTGCACAAGGTATTCTATAAAGTATTCTACAAGACATTCTACAGAGCATTCTTTAGTGCATGCAATAGGACAGTTTATAAAGCATGTATGGGTGGTATTCTAGAAGTCATTCTACATTCTATTCCATAGGCTATGGGGTATTCTAGAAGTGTTTTATAAGGCAGTACTTTGGACATTCTATATGAACTCCTTTGTGGTATATAAAGGGGGTATTCAGTAAGGTATTCTTTAGGCTATTCTCCTAGATGTCTATTTTCCTTCATAGAAATCCCTTATTCAATTCGGCTACCGCTCTTATTGGGGAATTCTCAGATCTTGGGCTCCTCCTGATTTTCCTTGTATTAAAAGTATGATATAGGGTATTATAAAGGGTATGCTATCTATACGGTATCCTATAGGGTTTCTATAAGTCTGTAAGGTTTCTATAAGTCTGTAAGGTATAGAAGAGGTATCATATACAGGCGGTCTTTGATAAGGTGTTCTCTAACGCAGACGGTATTTTACAAGATATATATATATATAGAGGGTCTGGAGGGGGTATGATATAAAGTAGTGAGCAAAGTAGTCTATAAGGTATTCTATAAGACATTCAAAAAGGCATTCTAGAAGGTATTCTGTCAGGTATTCCAAAGGCTGTGGGGTATTCAAACAAGGTCTTTATAAGGTTATAGAGGGTATTCTACAAGGTATTCCGCAGGGTATTCTATATGAATTTGCTGAAGCTTCATAGAAATCCCCTACCCAATGGGAATTCTTGGATCTTGGGCTCCTCCTGATTTCCCTGTTTAAAACCCGCATCTAAGAGGGTGCTCTATATGTATTCTGTAAGGTATTCTATAACGTGTATATAAGGTATACAGGGGATATCAAATATATATATATATATACATATACATATATATATATATGATGCAGGGCTGCCACACCCCCCTTCCCCCCCCCACCCCATGGTATCCCCCCCCGCCCCCCTGTGGGGTGGGTCCTGTGGTGGTGCCCTTCCCCGCCCCCCTGTGGTTTCGTTGTTGTGGTGGGTTG